ATCTTTGGGCGCGGGGTGGCGTCCGGGAAACTGGAACAGAAACATTGGAACCCACTTTGCTGGAACCTTGGTGGAACATCGCTGGAACCTGGCTGGAACCTCGCTTCATGCAACCTTGCCCCAACCTTGCGCTAATTTTGCCTCACTACAATCTTGCTTTACCCTCGCTGGGGCCTTGTTGTCATCTACATCTACTTGGAAGTTGCTGGAACCTATTACTGGAAAACTTATTGCTGGAACCCCTTGCCGGTACCGTCCTGACGCTTGCAGGCGTTTTTTTCTCCCTCCTTGGGTTCGCGTGGGAGCTTACATATGAAAACAAATTCTAGATTTCCTTTCCGTGGAAGCGGCGCGAACGCAAAAGTTGGATCGGAGCAGAGCAGAACCATGGAAACCAGGAACCTTGTAACCATAGAACCTGGCACCCTGCAACATCTGGAACGCTGGAACTGGAATCTTCGTGGTTGGAATTTTAGCCGCTGGAATTGGAATCTTCCGGCCATGCAACCCAGAATCATGGAATCCTGGAACCTTGGAACCCGGACGTTGCAACCTTGGAACCTTGCAACCTTGGAACCCTGGAGCCTTTACAACATTGCGTGGAACGTTGGAACCTCATTTTTGAACATCCTGGAACAATCCTGGTACCCTGGAAAAAAGTCTGGTAACTTTTGACATTTTGTGAGTATGGATTCCCTGGGCACCGGGAACCTTGGAGTGTTGGAATTGTGATATTTTGGAGTTATGGAGCTGTGTTCCAGTTTCAGCCCTTGCTGCCCCGGCTGGAAACCCAAAATTTTGAGCAGATTTGAAACCTGGGGACCTTGCGAAATTGTAGGCCTGAATGCCTTGCTGTCCTCTAACCTTGGAATCTTGGAGCCTGGCTTGGAGCCCTTCTCTTCTTGCCCCGCGACATTGCAACCTTGGAACCTTCAAACCCTGTAATCTTGGAACTTTCGACCCAGAACTTTAGAATTTGTTACCTTGTTCTGCGACCTTGCAACCTTGGAACCGTGCAACCCTGGAATCCTAGAGCCTGAGGGCCTTGCAAGTCTGGAACTTGGGTCTTTCGAACCTTGAACCATAAACTGCCATGAGCCCTGGAAATTTTACGCGTTTGGAACTCTTGAACTTTCTGAATTTTAGAATTTTCACAGTAGGATCCCTTGGTTTATGGAAATCTGGAACCAAGTAACTTGGAGCGATGGAATTTTGGAATTCTGGAGTCACCGAACTATGGAGCCTCGAGGCTCTGGCTTCTTGCAGCCTTGGAGCCTTGCTACCGGAGCTGGAAACCCAAAGGAACCTTGCAAATTTGTAAAATTTGTGCTTCGTTATGGGTCATTATTTGTTTACAACAGTTGCAACAATTTTACAGTGTGTTACAATGGCCTTTTGCATGGCTCTGCTCATGTCGTTGTTGGTGAATGAAGCGTGGACCCTTGCAAACCTGGACCCTTGCAAGTTTGGAACCGTGAGCTCTGGAACCTTGAAACTGGAACCCTGGAACCCTGTAACCATGGAAACCTGGAACCTGACCCTGGAAACTGTAAATTTGCAACGGTGGGACACTGGAAACCTGAAACCTTGGAATCATGGAACGCTGTGACCTTGCCCCGTAACATTGCAGCCCTGGAACCCTAGAATTTGCTGTTGGGTTGCAAAGGTGAGTAAACAGTTTTTTTTGCCGATATCAAATGGTCGTCGGGGGCTTCCACGTTTGTTTTTAAAATGTCGAAAGAATGCACAAAAAATCCAAATGCAAACAATAATGCAAAACACAACACTTCAGCACAGGTGGTTAGCAAACCTAATTTTCCCTTGTTCCCAAATGGGCACCCTTTCCCAGCAGGATTTTGTCTCCTTTCTGCTATCCCAATTGTGAACAAAAATATTGGGGAACTACTGGGCCCTAGCTGCCAGCGCAACGATTCTTGCGCATCAGCAAACGTGTTCATGACGCAAAACGTGTCCAACTCTTGTTACATATTTCAACGCCAAAATTATTTTGTTTTTCAGCTGTGTTGGATTCCATTTTTCGTGTGTTGTCCGTAGGTGCAAGTAGAATACTACATCAACTTCCCAAACGAGTGACATGGGGGCGGAACAAAAAAGCAACAACATGGGAACGGAAATGGTCCCAAAAAGGATAAAGAGGCAGATTTGGTGTTTGGTTTGTGATTTTGAACTTGTGGATTGCATACTGGCATTTGACTTAATATATAATCAATGGCACTTGCATTGCAAAAGCTGGGGGCCAGCAGAGTTCCAAACAATCGCCGCCAGGTTTGGCAGAAGAAAGGCGAAAAGCAAAGGCGCGTATACACAGTTTTCTTGGCCTGGGTGCTTCCGCACACCATATGGTGTGCGCCTGTGTTTGCTTGTGTGCATATCATTGTCTTCGCGAATGATTCCTGGATGTCCATTTTGGTTTGGAGTGGTAGAACTAGAATTGATCGCTTGCTTTGAGACCGCGGATACCGTAAAAGGCATTGTTGAATGTGAAATTGTTTTGTTTTTTTTCACCGGCGGTTTGGCCAACTGTAAAAGTGTTGACTGTTGGTCGAAAGAAACATACCTGTGGAATGCCTGCGGACAAACGGCATGGTGGCAGCTGGGGCCCGAGAGAATTACAGAAACGCACAGGCGGGATGAGCAGAGCATGCTTTTGTTTCCTACCGGTGAATTGATGTTCTGGTTGCCCGACATTCTTGTTGCAGGAATTTTTCTCATCCTCATTATCGGCTTGCTGATACCGATGTGGATCTCAAGCTGGTATTGCCAAATTGTTTTATGCAGCTTTGTGGCTGGAGGTCAGGATGTCGCTGTGCTGAACAATAATTAGCCTTTTTGGGAATGACACTGGAAACAGCCTTGGAAACCAAAGTGAGAAACCTCTTGGAATGTTCGTCCCATGTTTTCATCGTTCCTTCCGTTTCCTCACCTTCCCCTGGAGGAAGTCTGGAGTTCTGGATGGCAGTTTACAGTAAAGCAACGGGATCGCAGGCCCGGTTGGACCACGTGCAAATGCATTTAGATGATTGAAATCCATAGTGCTGCACGAACCACTTTGAAAATCCTTGAAAACTATGAGACCTATGAGCACTATTGCTACCAGGAGTACGTCGAAATGCTGTTCTTTTATCTGGCATGGTGCTTGCCTACCTTGGCAGCATTGCATTCGTACCGGCAACTGATTGGACACCAGCGGCTGGTGGACGCTCAGTCATTTTGACCCATAGGTGAAGTTTATAGCACAAGTCCATGAATGGACTGTTTTTTTTTGTTGTTGTTGCTGCTGTGGTTGTTGGTTGTTGTTTGTTGGTTGTTGGTTGCTGGTTGGTGGTTGTTGGTTGTTGGTTGTTGGTTGTTGGTTTGTTGGTTTGTTGGTTTGTTGGTTTGTTGGTTTGTTGGTTTGTTGGTTTGTTGGGTTGTTGGGTTGTTGGGTTGTTGGGTTGTTGGGTTGTTGGGTTGTTGGGTTGTTGGGTTGTTGGGTTGTTGGGTTGTTGGATTGTTGGGCTGTTGCGTTGTTGCGTTGTTGGGTTGCTGGGTTGTTGGTTGTTGAATGTTGGTTGTTGAATGTTGGTTGTTGTTGTTGTTGTTGTTGTTGTTGTTGTTGTTGTTGTTGTTGTTGTTGTTGTTGTTGTTGTTAATGTTGTTGTTGTTGTTGTTGTTGTTGTTTTTGTTGTTGTTGTTGTTGTCGTTGTCGTCGTCGTTGTTGTCTTCGTCGTCGTTTTGTTGTTGTTGTTGGTTGTTGTTGGTTGTTGTTGTTGTGGTTGTTGTTGGTTGTTATTGGTTGTTGTTGGTGTTGTTGGTTGTTGTTGGCTGTTGTTGGTTGCTCTTGGTTGTTGTTTGTTGTTGTTTGTTGTTTGTTGTTGTTGGTTGTTGGTTGTTGGTTGTCGGTGTTGTTGTTGTGGTTGTTGTTTGTTGTTTGTTGGTTGTTGTTTGTGGTTGTTGTTTGTGGTTGTGGTTGTGGTTGTGGTTGTGGTTGTGGTTGTTGTTGTTGTTGTTGTTGGAATGTGTGTGTGTATGGAACATCTGCACAGATGTAAAACTTCTTTTGGTCGGTATGTTGTTTCAATCATGCCGGGGGCAGGAGCGTCATGGCAAGTCTCCCGCCAACGAAGACACGTACCATCGATGGTGATACCAGACTTGGCCAGCCTGGCGTACTTGCACTGTGGTGGTTACCTGTTGTTCAGGGTTTGCGTCCATTCAATTTATTTTGCCATCATTGCGCGTGAATGGCAACCGGCTAAGCCCAGAACCGGACAGAAGATCCTTTGCGACTATTTATTTGGACCTTTTGGATCAGTTTCCAAGATGGTCTCAGACCGGCACGGTTTCCACAATCTGTTTACTGGGATATTTCATCATGATTCTGGTCATGATCTTACTTATCGTTTTTTAATTCACTTTTGGGTTCTTTTTGCACAAGTTTTTGATCGTCCATGTTTATCGGAATTCCGTCGTATTAATAGCATACATCTTCGAGGAGATCTACCTTATGCCACTTATCTTGCTCAATTGCACGTTATATATGGGATTCAGTTCCCGACGGATTTCCGGTGTGATTTCCATGGTGACCCCGGCATGGTGCCATGGACCCACTTGAGGGAACCTTCTTTAAGGTGAATGTCCACTGACTGAACCCTGAACTCACACATTTTAGTTTAGTAGTTCGTCTACGTAAAGTGCAACAGTCAGCCTTGCCGTTCATCAGCCTTTTTGTCCGACTCTGCCGTCCTTTTGCCCCTCGGTTGTCTCAACCCTACGCACGTGAAGCCGTTCTGAACTGCCGCAAACCTTCTTTCTCGCTCATGTTCAAGCTTTTGATACAACATACAGCATGACAGTTGCCACAGGCAGGTGCACGCTTTCCAGGTGTGGTGATTTGTTTCTTTTGATGGTTGTCATGTGAGGTTGAACATTTTGTGCATCTAATTCATTTGAACTTGAATAGGTTTAATGCCCACGCGTGGGTTGTCGGACTACCGTCCCTGGATTCTTTGCCCTCGCTCTCGATCAACCATGTGGCCTTGGACTACTCCTCCTGCGTCTTGGCCGGCACCGCGGACGTCGAGTTCCACGGTACCACCGCCTGCGATCTCTTCACCTTGGACCACACTACATTTCCTTCCACAACAAAGCTCACCGATTCCTGGTCAACCACACATGGAACCTCAAAACAGCTGTGACCCCTTCGGAAAGTCGCAAATGCAAAGAATTCCTTGACGCCATGTTCCACCAACTATCTCAACCATACCTCACATCAACGAAGGCATGTGTCTACATCAAGGCCGACAAAGAGATGGTAGCTAACATCGCTAAGTGCTTCGCACGTGCTGGTCTCCTGAATGTTGAGTTGGCCAAACGCACAAAAGGATACTACTTCGACCTGCCTTCTTCTCCAACGCGACGGGAATTGAAGAACAAGCGTTGCTCTTGTGGGCACAACAGCACACGCCCGCATCAGCTCGAGCCCAGACACTGGTGGGATTTTGCCAAGCTGTTTCCCTTCGCCTATGGGCCCAATGGACTCTTGACATCCATGTGGATCGGTTTGAAATCCGCTATCAAGATCTGGATGGGGATACGTTCCAAGTCAACCCTACCAGCACTGTCATGGACCTCCTGGAGACCTACCGGCCGGAATGGCGCACTCAGCAGTCGGACGTTATGTCTACTACAATCCTTCCTGCTGACGTCCGTCATCCTTTCTTACTACGTTTCTCATGCCACGTACGTCGACCAGGCGTGATCCTGCCCTAGTTCTTGCACCACGGGCCCTTCCGCAGAAGAATGCGTTTCACAGCTGCTGTCAGGTATGCATCGTGGATGTATTTTATGTCTTCACCTGGGCGATACTTTCTGAATAATGACTCAATTCCTTAGCCTTAGTTTGTTGATGACTCCGCGCCATTCGAATCTACTGCTTGAAGGTTTTACAGGACATTATTTTTTGGCTGACCGGTTTCCGGGATACTTTTTTTCCAGCTCCTCTTTGTATCTTCAAATCATGTCCGGTGTCAAACGCGACTCAGCCATGGCGAACCTTTCTTGGCCAGCCTCGTCCAACCGATCAGCATCGGCGAACGCAGACACAGATGCCACCATGGACCCTACATCCGGGACATCCTCAACACAACTCCTCCCAGCTATGCTCCCCATGCGGCGGAAATGATCACTCCTCCTTTTACCACAGCAAGTATATACTTTGACGCCCGTCAACCATATGGACCCCTACCAGTGAGGAGAATATTTTACGGAGCAAACGGTCCACACCATCACCTTCAAGATCTACACATACAATGGAGAACGCATGGAACTTTGGGTCAATGAGGTCAACAACAACGGATTCAGCCGCCTCCGAAGACCTGAGCATTTCTTTTTCCGGCTTACTGAAGACGGGTGATCATGCAATGTCTCTTAGCCTTTCTGATTACTGGCGTGCATTCTTTGACTTACCACGGAGGATCTCCTTATGCTGACTCCACGGACAACCAACTTCCTGTGACGACCGCTTCCCCGGCATCGACGGTTCCTGAACTGGCTTCTCAATTGCTTCGATTGCTCTTTGGCCTATAAAGAGTCAGGTTCTACTACCTCCGCTCCTGCTCGGCGATCACGCGTGGCATCTCTACGGACCAGCTGCAGGCTCTTGCTCAGGGACTTGAAAGTTTGGCATCCTGGAGCCCTTCTGATTTGGGTGCGTCTGAGACAACGTCATAGGCTCTAGTGATACATTGATGCGATCTTCCGGTACAAGAAAAAACCCTGCTTCGGCAGGGTGTGTGTGTGTGGGGAACACCTGCACAGATGTAAAACTTCTTTTGGTATGTTTTTCAATCATGCCGGGGGCAGGAGCGTCATGGTAAGTCTCCCGCCAACTAAGACACCTACCATCGATGGTGATACCAGGCTTGGTTAGTCTGGCGTACCTGCACTGTTGTGACTACCTGTTGTTCAGGGTTTGCTTCCATTCAATTTATTTTGCAATCATTGCGTGTGAATGGCAACCGGCTAAGCCCAGAACCGGACAGAAGATCCTTTGCGACTATTTATTTGGACCTTTTGGATCAGTTTCCAAGATGGTCTCAGACCTGCACTGTTTCCACAATCTGTTTACTGGGATATTTCATCATGATTCTGGTCGTGATCTTACTTATCGTTTTTTTATTAACTTTTGGGTTCTTTTTGCACAAGTTTTTGATCGTGGCCATGTTTGTCGGAATTCCGTCGTATTAATTGCATATATCTTCGAGGAGATCTACCTTATGCCACTTATCTTGCTCAATTGCGCGTTAGGGGATTCAGTTCCTGACGGATCACTACAATGATCCAGTTCTTTTCTAGTTAGTGTGTGTGTGTTTCGAACTTGAACAGGCTCACACTGGGATGGCTCGAGTTAAAAGAGGTGTTTTCCGGCTTTGCTGCCTCCTGAGGAGTGTCTCGTCATTCAGCTCGTGGTGGGGGATTCCGCACAAATGCTTGTTGGGCGGAGCATTGGGCACCGGTTTGTTTGCCCACAACTTTCGCCAAAGAAAACACTGGAAGGCGCAACTATGCAGCCACACAAATATCACATGCAGATTCAAAGGACTGACCTGTTTGCTGGAGTGGCAGAGCATTGAAAAATACGACAATCATTGGAAAATTGGTAACCGTTAGTTTCAAATTGTGTATGATTTCTTCACATTGATATGTTTCAAGCTGTGCTGGGGCGGATCATGTCCTTGGGCACTGTGCCTGCAGGCTATGTAGGCGGAGCTGTCATTACTTTGCTCTACGCATCAGCTGTCCATCTTTGGCCTACGGTGGATGTGCTTGTGGCCTACGTCTTCGGTTCTTTGCAGTGCATATGCATTTGAGTTCACGGCTTTCACGACATCCTTTTTGCTGGGATAGTTTTCAGTCGAGGAACCTCCATTCAGAACGCAGCTTTGCGATAAGAAATTGTTTGCACCGGCAACTTTGGAGCTAAAAGAAACCTTTGTCTCGGCGTGGCATTTCGAGGTTGTATCGGAGATTTGTACTTTTCAGCTGTCAAGCGTCGCCTCGGGATCAAAGATTATTCACGAATCCTTTCTTCACACGGTCTCTCGTCATAGCCTTTGAACTCTGAACATTTTGTTTCTGGGATGCCTCCCGCTGGCATTGAATTTTGGTGATACTTTGGAGCGAATCTATCGGAATTAATCTCGATTTGTTTTTTGGACAAGCTCGATGAGGTGGCCTTCTCGATCGAATTGATTCCTTCATGTTTGCTGCCAATGCTTTGGTTTGGAAGGCGATGACAGAAACTTGTACGTTTCATTGTCTTTGCATTTGTTCTTTTCTACGGGTAGCCGTTCAGCTGAATACGGAGCGGCTTCTTGCAGCACTCTGTTCAAACGGGTGTTGTTCAGGGTGAGCTCACATTACCCCACTCCGTGGATATCCTGCAAAGATTGAAATGAACTGCTTTGGGGTGTACCAGATTACTCCAAGGCTTGTTTCTGATGGGAAGAGGACAGACTTTTTTTTGGGCTCACTACCTCCGAAGCGAACGCGAAAGAGAAAAAATCTTAGTGCTTAGCAAGGCTCGTTTCGCATTATGATGAAGAGAATTCAGGAGATTTCCTAATAGTCACTGGTCACTAATCTTGGTGCAATGTTTATCACAGTATGTGCCCGCCTGGACGCATATACAGATAAATGTACAAACACATGCACATATGCACACACACACATAATACACACAGATACATCTGCACATACAATCACATATACACACAGATGTGCACGCACAGATGTGCACACACAAATGTACATGCACGTATGTCACGTACATACACATACATGCACACATACATATACACAAACACATTAAATATATATATATACATAATAAAGGTATACGGTATACATAAACTGATACACACATATCCTGTCCGCTCTAGAACCGCGCGAGCGGTTTCATTTCAGAATCCACGACATTCAGGACACACGGTTTTTTTTTCCAATACGAAATGTGTGTTGCCTTTCTTTGCAGCATTCCAGCAACGGTCAATCTTACCAGGGTGCACTTTGAGCACACCCAGTCGGCCACGGCTCACTTTGCAACCAAAATATACCCGTGAAGAAGTTAAAGCGTAGAGAAGAAGAAGAAGAAGAAGAAGAAGAAGAAGAAGAGGAAGAGGAAGAAGAAGAAGAAGAATAAGAAGAACAGGAAAAAGAAGAAAAATAATAAGAAGAAAAAGAAGAAGAAGAAGAATAAAAAGAAGAAGAAGAAGAAGAAGAAGAGAAAGAAAGAAAGAAAGAAAGAAAGAAAGAAAGAAAGAAAGAAAGAAAGAAAGAAAGAAAGAAAGAAAGAAAGAAAGAAAGAAAGAGAGAGAGAGAAAGAAAGAGAGAGAAAGAAAGAAAGAAAGAAAGAAAGAAAGAAAGAAAGAAAGAACGAAAGAAAGAACGAAAGAAAGAAAGAAAGAAAGAAAAGAAAGGAAGGAAGGAAGGAAAGAAAGAAAGAAAGAAAGAAAGAAAGAAAGGAAAGAAAGAAAGGAAGGAAAGAAAGAAAGAAAGAAAGAAAGAAAGAGAGAAAGAAAGAAAGAAAGAAAGAGAGAAAGAAAGAAAGAAAGAGAGAAAGAAAGAGAGAAAGAAAGAGAGAAAGAAAGAGAGAAAGAAAGAGAGAAAGAAAGAGAGAAAGAAAGAGAGAAAGAAAGAGAGAAAGAAAGAGAGAAAGAAAGAGAGAAAGAAAGAAAGAAAGAAAGAAAGAAAGAAAGAAAGAAAGAAATAAAGAAAGAAAGAAAGAAAGAGAAAGAAAGAAAGAAAAAGAAAGAAAGAGAAAGAAAGAAAGAAAGAAAGAGAAAGAAAGAAAGAAAGAAAGAAAGAAAGAAGAAGAAGAAACAAAAGAAGAAGAAGAAGAAGAAGAACAAGAAGAAGAAGAAGAATAAGAAGAAGAAGAAGAAGAAGAAGAAGAAGAAAAAGAAAACAAAGTGTAGGATACATGATATGAAATTCAAACGCAGTGCAGTGACAAAATACCAGAAATTTGAGGGTGTTACAGAAAATGTTAGAAGAAATAGTTTCGATTGGAGTGTGGAAACAACCCCCCACCCCCAGGACCAGTTATGACTTACAAACACATATTTTTACGTGCAAAATATGGGAGTGCAACGTAACAAGACAGCTGCGCACGTACGGCGTAAAAGGTAGCTGACATTGAGTCCACCCAACAAAAAGGTGGAGAGTTTGTATGAATTTTCAACAGGGTATCCGGGATGGGGGTATATCGAGGGCCCCCTATTTTTTTTCATGGCTCTATTGAGTCAGGCAGCAATTTTCGGTGCAGACTCAGTGACCTAGCTGGTGGACCTAGTCCGACTTGCAAAGTACTAGCCTGAAAATTTGGCTAAAATTTTGCTTTGCATTGTTTCACTGGCACGGCAGCAAAGGCATCAACACAGACGCTGCGTGTGTCCAACTTGACTTCGAATCATCTCAATCTTTCACGGCAACGAGAGCTTTGACAGAAAATGAGACCGCGGGAAGGATGTGATCGTTTCTTTTCTCAGACTTCAACCCAAGTAGCGGCAAAAGAAATTCATGACCGAACTACATCCCTTGGAGAGCATAAATCATAATTCGGTACTTGATACTTCTTAGTTGGACTCGCTGTGACGACTCCTCAGCCCAACTCCTTCAATCCCTGCAACGCCCCATTTCGCACATTTCCCTCTCTGAAAACCTGCGCAGTCCTGGGGAAGAGCACCTTCGCTGGCGAAGCGTTTTGAAAGGACAGCAAAATCATGGGAGTCGAGCGGCTGGGGAGGCTTACTCAGACAGCGCTGTTTGCAGATTTGGAGCAGTCATTGTGAGCTTCGTGGGGGGCAGCCGAGGCTTTGGATGATTGGATGATATTTTATTTTCGTAGCAGATTGATAGGTCGATACAGGTACGGAACCCCTACATCTCCGGGATGATAAAGACTTGAGCAGAGATTTCTAGATTTCGGGAAGGCCGGTCAGGGATGCGTAAACAAACAGTAGCACCGTTTGACAGTACAATACATGTGTGTAGGCATTTTTATCGGCATGATTCCACAACGTGTGGAGGGGATAGAGGTTTTGAAAATAAACATGGACACACATCCAAAGTGCGTTGCACTGCAAGTCGGATTTGTGTCGAAGCGCGCGCGCAGGTTGAATATGAAGGAAAGCATCCTGATGGAAAACATGCAGCTGTGTTTGCAAGGAGCTATATACCTTTTGCTGAAAGGTAGGTGATGTCAGCAACCTGACTTTTTGCTGCAAACATAGAACCATGAAGAGATCCTATTCACTCCGGGTTCCTGTCCCATGTTTCCCAGAAGTTCTTTCTTTTGTTGTCATAACCCTCATCAACTAACCCTCAATACAATCGATGTCATAAGAGCACAACAGCATTCTAAAAACTACGCTAGGGACGCTAAGTTCTCCGATGCATAATGTTTGTGGTTGAGTGGGAATGTTGGAAATTGTGTTTTCGCTTTGGTATTTTGCACATTTTTGAGCATCGTGTATTGTCTTGACAACTTCATGTTTGACGGACAATTTTTTCTTTGTCCGTTTAAGTTGAAGTACGAAATGCACTCTTCATTGGTACCCCTATCCGCCTGGAATTGTTCATTGTCCATGTTTTTTTGAACGATTTTTGTTTTAACACATATGTTCATGTTATATTAAAACATTGCAACATTCATTGGGAAACGCCAGTCAAAATGAGAGAGGGCCATTTTGTATTGGTATTTGCAGTATTTTCCAACGTTGTGAACCGAGCCGCATTTTGATAGTCAGGAGTTTTTGTGTCTTCTACTCATATTTTTTTGATATTATTGTGTGTCTGCATGGTTTAGAACTGTTGATTTCTCCTGTTTTGTTTTCTGTTTTTTGCTTTAACATATTCACGTTTAAATGAGAAAAGTGTAAACATCATTGGGAAATGCCAGTCAAAATGAGAGAGGGCCATTTTGTATTGTTATTTGCCGTATTTTCTAACGTTGTGCACCAAGCCGCATCTTGCTAGTCAGGGTTTTTTGTTGTTGTGTTCCATTTACATTTCTTTGTTATCATCTTCTGTCTGCAAGTTTTTTTTAACATTCCCACGGTGCGCTTTAAAAAACCTGACTGACAGGCGTGCAGGAACGTTCCGCATACTTTCTGAATCGGGCCAAAGCTAACAACACCGGGTTGAGTCCTGGGTTTTTGTTCAGGTAATGAAGGGCTAAGACATTTCTATGCTCGGTGGGGTCACTGACATTGCGACTCAAAACGGATGTGTAGCATCATACCAGCGTAGCGTCAAGTGTAGCATCATCAGAGCGTAGCGTCATGTGTAGCATCAAAACACCGTAGCGTGATGTGTAGCATCTTCAGAGCGTAGCGTCATGTGTGGCATCATCAGAGCGTTGCGTCATGTGTGGCATCATCAGAGCGTAGCGTCAAGTGTAGCATCAAAACACCGTAGCGTGATGTGTAGCATCTTCAGAGCGTAGCGTCATGTGTGGCATCATCAGAGCGTAGCGTGATGCGTAGCATCACATGTATGCCTACGTGCCAGTGAACGTACAACTGCGTAGCATCACACATGTAGCCAAGTGTACATGAACGTTATTGCCCCACCCCGCCCCATACTACCCCATCGGAGAAGTGCTAGCCCCCCGGGAAAAAATATAATCACAGTATATAATTATGTTATTGTTGATGTGTTTGCATTGCCAAAACTTTAGCTTATCCTTGAGATCCCGTAAACCAATCAAATGAGGAGCAAGGTCCTGTGGTTCAGATGTTCCTTTGTTACAATGAAATGGGAAAAAACATCTGAGTGAATTCACCTCCAGTTCTTGGCTCTTTTTATTGCGTGCTGTCTGTGTTCGTCGGTTGTTGAAACAAGGAAGCACGTTCTTGTAGCATACTCTGCACAGTTTGACACCACAGTCTGAACCCCGGTGATTTGAACATCTGGGTTTGATTGAAGCCCCCACGATTTGAATGTGAAACTGCTTGACACACATCACAGCTGGGCGTTGCGGCTATGTTTGTAGCAAAGGAGATCCAGATGTTCAGCTTCCTGGGAAGCATATGTGCGAAACGTTGCTCTGAGGATGAAAGAGATACTGCTTGCCTTTTTGCTGCTGAAGCGTCGACGGGTGTCAATGTCTCAGTCCGAGCAGATAGCACTGATAGCACTAATTACTAATTTCTCAACTGATTTCCTTCCAGGAAACACGAGCGTTTTATCATCTTGTCTTCTTTCATTGCTAGGAGAGTGCGCCTGCTTGCGCTTGCACTTGGAGGGCACCAATGCAATCTCAATCTGAAGTAATCCGAATCTTCTTCAGGTTGGCAGCGACTCATGCATCAGATGGCCTCCCTTCGCTGAATCCATAGGTGTCCTTGCCTCGAATCAATGATGCAATGACAGCTCGGTCATATAGCGGACCTTGGATGACCGTGGCATTCTTTGCAACATTTCGACGACCAAGGCTGTGGTATATCATTGTGATTTGGCAGAGCAGGAGAGCCACGGAGTTTGTTCAACTGCAGTTTTGAGGTTTGAGCGTTTGCGCTTGGATGCAGTATTTGATGGGCATTATAGCAGCCGCCCCAAAACAGTCGTATAGTTCCAGGTGCTGAATATTGATACAGAATGGATACTGTAGGCTCTTTGAATGATCTTTTTCTCCATCTTTCGCCCAGGATCTTCGTGTAGCCTTCAGCGTCGCAATTTTCGACCGCAGCATCCTTGATGGATCTGTCCGCACCCAAGGTGCAACGCCACAGGCCGAGAGGACTCGGTCAGGTTTCAGCTTTGCCAGGGTTTGCCACTATGCAGACAATGCAGAATCCATGCGTGATTGGCCCCTTCTATCCGTTCAGTGGAAGGGTCAAAGGTTGGCTTTTGCCGGCAAGTCATTCCGAGAGTTTTCATTTGAAAGTGCCATTGCACTGCAACATGGGACATGTGATTCTGTCGCTGCCTTTGGTTGAAGCTGGCAATGGATCATAGAAACATATAGAAACATGAGAAAAAATAGTGATCATGCAGTCGGATTAGCAAAGTTTGTGTGCTCGTGCTAGTGTGTCCATTTTAAGACTCTGTTCCATGTAGCGGAATGGAGATTGAGATGTCATAGCGTTCCTGGCATGTGATCATTGATGTGGCAGAGACAACTTTATAGGTAAATCTTCATGGCAAGATCAAAAGCTCCTGTGTTTAAGATAAAGTAGGTTCTGACATGCACCCAAAATCCTAAAAGATCACGAATGATCAAGCGGAGATTTCCGCTTGGTCATACGATTTCCGCTTGGTCATACGGAAAACTTGAACATATGCAGCTGATTCGCCGGATTCGTGCCTGATCATAGTTGGCAAGCTCCTTGGTTTAAGACAGGACTAAAGGATATGTTGCAGGGGCTTGGGTGCATAGCCTGAGTCTATCAATTGTAGGCTTCTAGAATGTGCCAAGGATGTTTTGCTTTTTATGCGCCATCTTATCTTTTTCTCTGGTCTTGTTCTCTTCAAAGCGTGCCTGGAAAAACAAAGTCACCAAGACTTTTTGTTGATTTTGCCACTGTTCGTCTGCAGCTTTGCTACATTTTTTCATCCTTTAGCGTCCCAAGTAGCTGCTTAGCCAGACCCAGGATGAGTGGCGGATCCTTGCTTCGACTCTTCAGGCTCTTTGCCTTTTACTCTCTTGTGCCTGACATATGTGACTTGTGTATACTTGTGTAAGCTTATGTGTGCTTACGACTGGAGAGACATGTCGCAAGATGTAATCAATGTTCACCATAGCAAGATGCAACAACTGTTCACCGCATACCTAGGGACCTAGAGACACTCGAGACTGGTTTTTCAACTGCATGAGTCTGTCCGTTCGCGTACTTCAGCTATATAGGCTATTTCTGTAAAGTACTTTTGAATCAAAAACTCTCATTGGTGCCAAATTGAAATAAGTCTTGTCAAAACAAAGGTCATCTTTTCTTTTAAGAATTTTGCTCTGGGCAGCTTACTGTGTGTGGAGCAGATTTGGTACCAGGTCCGAGTACTTCGATGCACATTTGCATATGCACTACCTGCTCCGCATGGAGCAAAGTGGTGTCCAAGATTACTTGGTGTCTTGGCTTTCAAGGAAAGCGGCGTGGCTTACGGCTTTTGACATTGATGGATTGTAAGCAGAGTCTCTGATTTTTTTTGATGGACTCATGTTCTGCAGGATGGTTCTGTGTATCCGCTGTCAACTTGTCGCAGTAGATCGGGGACAGGATGAGTCAGGGAATGTGAATGCTTGTCTTTGACCAGCAGAAGTTATAAGTTATATAAAGTAAATCGCAGTTTGCGCTTCTTTTTAAATTTAAATGTTGTTTTTGGATGTTCTTGAATCCTCTAGACTCCTGGTTCTGTCTTAGAAAGTTCAGAATCCAGAAGGTCAGTCAGCGTCCAGGTCAATGAGTTGTACAAGATGACTGACGACGATGTGGAACTTTGCCAGAATGATCTTGCTCTTGCTGCGGTCACCACTAGCACATGCAATTTCCAACGTTTCGGGGTTGGTGGTGAGGATTTTCAAACATTTGCAAAGTTTTTTGTAGACGTCAGCTGGTGTTCTTCAACAGAGCACGAGAGGTCAAACCAATTTGTAAAAGAGAGCTCTCTGCTCCGTGGGACTTCTCGGAGCGGCAGAGTCGGCCGAAGTGGGACGGAGTTAGTCATGAGTCATGGAAGCCGAAGCTTTAATCGGCCGAGGACTACTACCTTCCTCAGCTGAGCCAGGTGGCCCTTCTACGTTACAACAAATCCTCATTGCACCGCTTTCTCCTCGACAAAGCTTCTGGATGCAAGAGAGCAAAACTAGAGCATACAGAGAGCAATAGCCATAGCATCAGAGAGGAGTGGCCAATGCACAGCGCAGCCGTGCCTGCGCAAAGTCTGCAATAATAATAATACTAGTACCCAGAATCTGCCTATTACGCAGTGCTGCATATCATCACATTAGAATACATTACACATCTTGAGGGAAGCTATTTATCGAAGGAAGTAATATTAGAGTAGTTGCTGCACTGGCACTGTACTGGAATGAAGTCCTTTCACTGACAAATGGATTGGGCAAGGACTGCTGATCCTCTCAATGAGCAACACAAACCCATTAGTAGTGCGGTTGATAAATGCCGATGACCCGCGCTATCGAGTGTGCCCTCTTCAACTCTTTGGCCTGTTTGATATTGTTTGGTCCTCCGTGTTATTGTTGTCCTGCACGGTAGAGCTGAAGACTCAGGCTGCTCAGTCGATGCCTTTTGCACTGAAAATCCATTGGTTGGTGCGCAGCATCGTGGAGGAATGACTGGGATTCGATATCTGTAGAGTCAGAAGCAGCGAATGACATATCGTTTCCCCATTTTTTCCATCATTTCAGTCATGAAAAGACATTTGGAGGACCTTGTTCTTTGGCAGGACAGGACGCCAGAGCTGTATGAAAATGCCATGGCGATGCTCAACCTTTGCGAAGCTGCGATGGTGTCATTCCAAGATATGACAAGTATGCTCGTGCCAAGTTGCGGCATAGTGGTCCCTTCTCTTTCTCAATGAGAGGTTAACTCGTCAAGCTCATCTCGAAAGCGGGAGGACGAGGTCGGTCGAAAGACTTTGCTGCTTGAAACAAATCAGACTAGAGCTGGCTTCTACCAGGCTGACCCTGTGCTACATTTGCACTTACATTTATATACATGCATTTATAGACTACAGTATAGTATATCACAATTTATTGCTACATTGCATTATGACACACGTGCATGCACACATACATACACATAAGCATCACACGTACATCTTTACATTGAAAAACACAAAAAAGATCCACGTATTAAGATTGAGGTGCTGGTGTCTTGCCGAAGCAGTTGTCGCAGGCAAGCCCTGGCCCGCCACAGGTGCAGCGAATCCTGAGGTGCTGTGGGTGCTGCAAATTTTGCACCAAACTCACCAAACCAAACGTTCGCCCATGCCCAAATGTCACACCCAAACAAAGTTCGGTCTTTGTCACCAGAGGATGAAGGAAAACACAGGCTGTACGGAGTGATTTTGACTAGGCTTCTGGAATTTGGGGCTTTAGGGTTTAGGATGGTTTAGGGTTCCGGGTTTAGATTTCTAGGGTTTTGAATTTATTGTTTAGGAAAATGGAAATGCTGGCCCTAGGCCGGCAGGGATTTGAGCATTTGAACGGATATGCGGGATCCTTCACGGACAAGCGGACATATGATACAATATAAATAGCCCAATGCACCATGATTCCATGATAGAATCAAACATGCAGGTAGGAGACTTGAACCAGGTCGCCGAATCTCGCCGACGGTTGCCAGCCAGAAGCCAGGTCAAGCTCGGATCCAGACTTGCAGTCGAACCGAGCACCTTCTGTCGAGGAGATTTGGGCGATTTCCCAAGTCAACGCACAGAGTCGCTTGGATGTCTTGAATCTCAGCTTCCAGTACGTGCGTAAAGATGTTTGATGCCTTGACCTTTTTGGCATGACTTCCAGCGGAAAGGATATCAAACCTGGTAGATCTCCGTAGATCTCGCAGGATTTCGATGAACCAGAGCAGCGAGGCAATGCCCCAAAGAGGCGGAGCAGGACTTGCTAACTGGCATCCTTGTCTCATGTTGCCTCATGCTGCCTGGACAACTCCTTTGGACTCCTTTGGACTCCTTAGGACTCCTTAGGACTCGTTAGGACTCGTCTAGGACTCGTCTAGGACTGGTCAGTTTCTTGAAACTACAGCCTAGAGAAGGGGCCTCTCGAGGTTTCAGCTCTAGCATAGCTCCAGTGCGGTAAGATTAGCCAAGGATTCAAGCATCAAACCTGAAAGAGCCGCCCCAAGGACTCCTGGCCCAATGCGATCTCGCGAAGCAGATGGAAGTGTGCCCAACTCAGCTCAAGCTCTGCATGTTTCTGCATCAATGTCCCGTGACTTGCTTCTTCCAGGTCACTCACACACTCTACGCACTCTGCACACACTACACTCTCTACACACCTACAGTACACACACACACACACCTACACACACACAGACCTACACTCACACACACACACATACACACACACAGAGATAACATAACAACATACACGCATATAATATGTATATACTGTATATATAATTATATATATAATTATATATATGTATATATATATGCGCAAAAAAAACAAGTGTGCATTGTCACATGTAGGTTGGTTCTTTTAGTGTTTCTGGACTTGTCCCATCATAGGGGAGACGACTTGGCAAATTTTTGTAGATTCTTGCATCTCGTGCACGTATGCATCTTCACAGTGTCCAGCTCGCTCACAGCTACCAAGGCACATCCAGAAGACAGTGAAAGCCATGAGCATGGGGAGGCCAATATGTTTCTTGATGTTTTTAAAATTTTTGTCGGAATTTGTGTAGATTGAGTTTGTCTTACTGTAACCGCAGCCCCTGTCGTGGCCACAAGACTCCTTGTGACAGGTGCGCTTCAATCCTCCGGCCCGGCAGATCTCCGGCGAAACTCGGCAGCCAATACCAGGTGTACCCCTTTGTCATTGGGATTCATTGGACAGAAGACTACACCACTTGGAGTCCTCTCCCAATTGAGAAATCACGAGGCTCCGTATGTCGACAAGATAGGACGTTGATGACTCAGGAGAGCTCACTAGATGATCCTGCAGCCGAACCAGAATCGCCTTCAGCTGGAATCCTTTCAGAGGCTGAAATTTGTAGGGGATTTGTCTGCCTTTGTTTTTAAATTTTTAAGCTCATGATACGATAATCTATTTTGTAACCCACGCATCATGCACATCTACTGCTCATCGTTTGCTCAACTGTTTGCGGAATTGATAGGTGCCTTCCTTGCCGGCATTTTTTCATTGTACTTGTCCAGCACATGGACCATGGAAGCACAATTAGGCACCCAGCTCTCCTTTGGCACATGGCAAGGTAAATCCACATCAATCTCCATCCATAGTTTACTTTATCGAAGGAAGTTTAGAAGTCAAACTTCCGACAATATGGACAGATTAAAAGCAGAGATGGGAAGAGTCAGAGAGAAGAGAAGAGTAGAAGAGAGAAGATCAGAGAAGAGAAAGAGTCAGAAGAAAGAAACTGCAGATGCCCAAAAAGGTAGGAAAGTCGCGAAACACTGTGTTTTTCCAATGATGTGTGGCTCCGGAGGGTCGAAAAGTAGGCTCGCTAAAGCGGCGGGTGCGGAGCCATCTGGCCAGATGAGATGAAAAATTGCACGCCTTTGTGGCGCGAAGCACATTTCGAAGTCAAAACGTACAAAGCACACCAGGTCCGCACCACTCTTGGAAGTTGAGATGTCGAAAAAGTGCACGCCGTTGTGGCGTGAAGCACATTTCGAAGTGAACATGTACAAAACGCACCAGGCTCGGACCACTTTTGGAAGTTGTGATGTCGAAAAAATGCACGCTGTTGTGGCGCGAAGCAAATTTCGAAGTCAAAATGTACAAAACACACCACATACGGACCACTTTTGAAGGTTCAGATGTGGTTTCGCGTGGCAGGCGCGGAGGATTCTGCACCTTGCCCGAAGTGAGCAAAACATGAGAGTTTTGTAGAAATTTCAAAAATGCTGGCAGGCATGGGGCATTTGCAGAGGATCTGCAAAGATGGAATTCGCGTGGCAGGCGCAGTACAAAAGACATGTTCATCAGAGATGTTAGGAGGTCAGGGCGCTGATTTCCTTAGAGGGGTTGCATTTTGGAGCATCAGATCTTCAGGTTTGCTGAGACGATTTTGCGTGGCAGGTGCAGCACTTCGTATGATGTGGCATCAATTGTTCGTGGCAGGCGCAGTACTTTAGACAGGTGGAGTGGAAAAATCGCAAAACGCATCTGTACGAGGCCGCCAGCTCTGCACTCAACTTTCCATTTTTGAAGGAAGTCTCGCAGAATTGCTTGGTTTTTGATGTTGTCAAGTTCAAAAATTGAAGAAGTCTCGCAGAATTGCTTCGTTTTGGATGTTGTCAAGTTCAAAAAATGAAGAAGTCTCGCAGAATTCCTTCGTTTTTCATGTTGTCAACTTCGAAAAATGAGGAAGTCTCGCAGAATTGCTTCTTTTCTGATGCTGTCAACTTTGAAAAATGAGGAAGTCACGCAGAATTGCTGCATTTTTGATGTTGTCAAGTTCAAAACTTGAGGATGTCTCGCAGAATAGCTAGGTTTTCAAGCTTGCAGATAGACTGGTAGATAGACAGAGAGAGAGAGAGATAGATAGATAGATAGACAGACAGACAGACAGACAGACAGATAGATAGATAGGTAGGTAGGTAGGTAGGTAGACGGGTAGATGGGTAGATGAGTAGATGGGTAGATGGGTAGATGGGTAGATGGGTAGATGGGTAGATGGGTAGATGGGTAGATGGGTAGATGGGTAGATGGGTAGATGGGTAGATGGGTAGATGGGTAGATAGATAGGTAGATAGGTAGATAGATAGATAGATAGATAGATGCATAGTCAGATAGACAGATGAGATGGATAGATAGAAAGATAGAAAGATAGATAGATAGCTAGTTCAAAACCCGAGGACGTCTCGCAGAATAGCTTTGTTTTCAAGCTTGCAGATAGGCAGGTAAATAGATAGACAGACAGACAGAGAGAGAGAGAGAGATAGATAGATAGATAAAAAAGATAGATAGGTAGATAGGTAGACAGGTAGGTAGGTAGATAGGTAGATAGGTAGATAGGTAGATAGGTAGACAGATAGGTACATAGTTAGATAGACAAATAAGATAGATAGATAGATAGCTAGATAGATAGATAGCTAGCTAGATAGATAGATAGATGGATAAATAGACAGCTAGATAGATAGATAGATGGATAGATAGATAGATAGATAGATAGATTAGATAGATAGATTAGATAGATTAGATAGATAGATAGATAGATAGACAGACAGACAGACAGATAGATAGATAGATAGATAGATAGAATGGATGGATGGATGGATAGATAGACAAATGGATAGATACATAGATAGTTAGGTAGTCAGATAGACAGATGAGAGAGAGATAGATAGAGAGAAAGACATATAGATAGATAGATCGGTAGGTAGGTAGGTAGATAATCAGAGAAAGAGAGAAAAAGAGAGAGAAAGAGAGGAGACATCAATCACCTTTCGATCCATCAGTGGCTTCGCTCTGCCATCCGTGATTCACAACAACCAAGCTCTCCTATAGGTTTCCTATTTGTGAAACTTCCGCCGCCGCCTTGTGCGGTACTACTGGTAATTATCAATGCTGGAGCCGTGTTCGCCTGCAGGCTGAGGCACTGCGTGCTGCTGCAGTGAGACATTTGGCAGCCCTGGACGCTTGGCCGCGAACCTCACAAGAATCTGCAGAAAGCACTTACAGTACCTCGCACTTGAACGCAGTGTCTCTGCCTCAGGAACAGGCGTTCAGCCCAGAAGAGCGCGCACAGGCCCTGCAGGAAATCATTCTGGAGCGAAGCACACAGAAAAAGACCGAGAGAGATACAGAGAGAGAGAGAGAGAGACAAAGAGAGAAACGAGAAAAAAGAGGAAGAGGCATACCTGTACACACACACACAAATGTGCACATAATTATATATGTATAATATTACACACGCACACACACACATATATATATATATAATGTATGTATGTATACACTTATATGTATGTATATATATAGCTACGCGGTTATAACATATTTACATACATATATATATATATATATTAAACATTGTATATGATATATGTTATAGTTAAAAAGATTGCAAATGTGGGTACGTATTCGTACATATCAAAATATTCATCAATATACAGTAATATGCATTTACATTATACAGATACATAGGATATATATATATATATAGAGATATATACATACATAGACAGACATAGCCTATGTATTATAATTATATAAATTTACATGTGTTTAATACACAATAAGAATACGTATAAAGAAAAATATAAATATAGATATACTTCATATACAGATAAATATAAATATGAATGTAAATAAATAGATATATCACATATACATATATATAGATATACATTTATATACATACACACACACATATACCAATGTAAATGAATAAACAATGAATATATACATATATATATATATACATATGTGTGTGTAAAAAAAATTATATATAGATAGATTGATCGATAGATGGTATGAACGCATATCCACGTGCATATATGCCTGCATATGTGCATGCGAGAGCATGCTGCTTTTGTGTCCAAAAATCCGGTTAGAAAATTGCTCCAGGTTTTAGAGTTGCCGGCCAGCTGTCCAAATGCCTGGTCCCCAGCTTCGGTCGCCATACCCCAAGAGTACAAACAAGCGGAAGGGAAAAAGGTCTCGGTCTCGACTTTTCAGGCTCAGTGGTCGTACTGAGATGTACTGAGGCTTTTCAGAGCCTGGGGCTCCCCATCGCAACTGGCCATCCCAACGAGGAGGATGGGTTGGATGACGAACGAGCCCGAGAGTGATTCTTGGACAAGACTGGCGTGCGTGGTCTTGAGTTTTCGACAAATGCCTTCATAATAGAAAGTCAACCTGCAGAAAACATCAATTCATGATGTTTATGGCGCAAGTCGCTGAAATTATTTGCTTAAATTGCCAAGTTGAGCCTTGAGGTGAAGGCCCCTCAAATCCTATCACTTTCTTTCTCCAGTATTGGGTTTACAGTAATTTCGGTGGCCAGGGTTGATCAATTGCGGTTCCTTATTCCATGCATTGAGACGGGCGGGATTGGTACCATGGGACAAGAAGAAGTCCAAAATCAATCCAGAACATGGCAAAAAACGTTTGTTGCATATTCGCCCCATACAAAATTACTGCATGGTCTGTGTGGTGATTACAGAGATTTAAGACTTTAGTCGCTCCACACATGCCACCTTCAAATTTCTAAAGTAAAAAGAGTTGGATACTGCCACTTTACGCAGGAAGGATCAAGCAGAGATCCATGAATACACGAATGACCGCACACAGACAGATGTAGGTATATAATATAGCGATGTATGCATATTTTATAAACGTATGTCTGATAAGCTGAATAGATAGAGGGCTGGCAGCTGAAGTTGGATGATGCATAATATATGTGGCAGCTGTCCTGCTCTAACCTATTCTTTCCGACCCTAGCTGTGGTACCTGCTAGAAGATTTGATGCCTTGGAGGCTGAGGTTATGTGCTGTACACGGGATAGAGGATACACTCTCTGACTGATAGGACGAGTGAATGAGGTTGGTGCATATTGACTACATTAGTCGCCAGATTGTCATCCCTGGCTTCCTCTAACGAGATTGTCGGACAACAGGCTTACAGCCAGATTCCGTAAGCCAACAGCCCAAGGCTTGATGAAGAAGAGGCGGTGTGATTACTTCAACACACAGAATCAACTAGTGCAGCTTGACCGGAGTTTCAGAATCTAAATGAAACGTTGCCGTTCAGAGCCCCACCAGCGCATGGCGAGCAAATGCAAGATACAAAAATAGCAAAGAAACATCGCATTTTGCGGTCATGTGTTGGTTCAAAGTTCAAAGGTCTTAATGCAGGGTTTTGTGTTGCTGATGCCGCATGATGAGGTCACTGATAATGACACTTTCCGATGTACTGATCTCCTATGCAGACAAGGCAATTCAATGTCTTTCTGAGTTTTGTCTTCAATTCACTTTGCTTGACCAACAAAGACTGTTTGGGTCTGCACTTCCAACTGAGCATCCATTTCTAGGGGACTGAAATCTGATGAAGTGTTGCTGCTGCAGCAAGTTGCAGCGGTTTCTTGTCCTTAAAGCTGGTCGGCTGGCTGTTGTGTCAGCTTATTGAAGGCTGACCGGAAAAGCGCCCTTGCAGCTACCCTGAATGTGATTAATCGCTGGCTCCTGGACCGGCGAATCTGTATGGCAGTTGCTGGTGAAGGCAGTGGACAGTTATGAACAGAGAGAACGCATTGAAGATTGAAGCAGTTTCTTGTGAATCGAAAAGATGCATAGGCAGAATGCCGGCGAAAGGGGGTCCTTGGTGAAATGGGCAGAATTTAGATTTGGGTCATGACTCGGTCGTTGCAATGCTGTGCAGGTCCCTTATTCCTCTTGGGGGCCCACATTCCGCCACCTGGCTCTTACAGATTTCGGATGCCTTTGCATCTCATGTGTGATCAACAGAACAGGCCAGACGAAGTCATTTAACATTGTCCCATTTCCAGCATGAACAGCTCAGGCTGTGGAGAGACTTGGATAGCCTGCACCAAATCTTGCATGTTCATGTGCTTCGTTTGCATTGCGACTACGAATCAATGTACAGAACATTCTGCTCGCCTTCAACAGGACTGACCTGTTTACGAGCGGTCTTTAGTGATGACATACTTGTTGTCATTTGCCAAAGTGGCATGGTTGAGAGTCTTGCATTGCCACAGTGGCATTCTGCACGTTGCATGGAATTCCATTTGTGGTACTTTTGTTAAATAAATGCCCAGGTGGATATGTGCAGAATCTTTAGTTCAGCTACGCGGGCTCCATTCGTGCTGGCGTATGAGTCAGTGAATCTAGATGAGGCAAGGGGTTGGGTAGCACCTGAGCAGAGTCCAAAACCTCTCACCCATCATGTGATTTGAAGCTTGAATATGCTTGAATTGTGTATTCTACTTCATCCAATCCAATCCAACCCAATCCAATCTAAGCTATTTGCCTGTTTATTTGTCCATCCACTTCGCTCCATACCCCTGTTTGTTTGCTCATATGTAGACCTTCACGTTTCTGTAAATCTATTGCGAGGCAGGGTATTGTCTCGTTCTGCCGCTGGGCTTAGCACGTTTCCTTCCATGCTGTTCTGAGGCGGCCGAGACTGATGAGGTCCGACGTGCAAATCACGAAAGCTAGCGTCAGCTAGCTGGAGTCTTCTTGCTTTAGCAAGTATTCCGGGGGCTGCTCAAGGACATCACGTGATTTTTCACGCGAAAGGGGGGGACCCCCACCACCACCACCACCACCACCATCACCACCATCATCATCATCATCATCATCGTCATCATCATCGTCGTCATCATCATCATCATCATCATCATCATCATCATCGTCATCGTCCATCACCACCATCATCATCGTCATCATCATCATCATCATCATCATCATCATCACCATCACCATCACCACCATCATCATCGTCATCATCATCGTCATCATCATCATCATCATCATCATCATCATCATCATCATCATCATCGTCATCATCATCATCATCATCATTGTCATCGTCCTCGCCATCGTCCTCGTCATCGTCATCATCATCATCATCATCATCATCATCATCATCATCATCGTCCTCGTCCTCGTCCTTGTCCTCGTCATCGTCATCGTCCTCGTCATCGTCGTCATCATCATCATCATCATCATCATCATCACCATCATCGTTAATCAATTACATTTTATCATTATTGGCAATTATTGGCATTATCACGAAAGCTAGCGTCAGCTCGCTAGAGTCTTCTTGCTTTAGCAAGTATTCCGGGGCTCCCCAAGGACATCACGTGCTTTTTCACGCGAAAGGGCCCCCCCTGCCCCCTCCCCCATATATATCATTGTTATATATCATATATCATATATCATTGTTGCATCCTCGTTGGGACGAACAATGCCGCGACACGATGATGACAGTCCCTCCGCAACTCACCTCTTCCCTTCCTTCTTTCTCCTACCCCGCTAGCTTTCGTCATCCACCCCCGGCCTCAAGTAATTTTGTCATTTTTCTGTTTGTTCATGTTCCTGTGATTTCCTGTGCAGGCAAAACACGTTCATGTCTCCCACCAAACCTTGCTGCATCAGCCTGCGCTAGGAGCTAAGACAAGACTGTAGGTAGAGAGACTATCAGGATATCAAGGAAAATTGTACGGAACATGGCTGACACATCACATCTCATCCGTCTTGGAATGAGGACAGCGGCTGTTCAGCAGTCAGTGGCAGACAGGCCCGGTTAGAGTCGAATCATCACGAAGGTTGTTCCTTTTGTTCGCTTCGCCTTGTGTCCTTCTAAGGCTCTCAAGATGTATTGTCGCAGAGCTCCATTTGGCTGATCTCCCTGAAGGCACGGCCAAACCTTGCAAACACCACTGAGAGCTGACTGTTAGCAGGAAAGTCTGCCCTGCATCAATCTAATCCGTGTAGCTTTTCTTAGTTGTGGGATTCTCAACGCTCTCTTTCTGGTAAGGTGATCCATCTACTGATTCGGAGCACCTTCATCGCCTCATCAAGCAGGCAGTGGTTGCAAACAGGATTGGATGTTCAGACTAGCAGCATGATTCGCGAGCACAAAATACATGCCAACAGATTTCAACAGTCGCACTTGCAAATGGCAGCAATGGATGGGCACTTGCTGTCCAGGTTACTCCCGATCAGTGGCACACCTTTGACTGCACAATGCCAAAGGCAGCGGCCACAGATGAACCCAATGTGGAGGAGACAACATATCACAACATATCACAACATATCACAACATATCACAACATACTGCTCAGACAACCTCTGGTACTCGTAGCATGGAGGGAGAAATTCAGGTCATGAACAATGACAATTTGCACATTTTGATCGCACCAATTTGCACGGGTCTCTGCAAGTGGCTGCCATCCAATAATTCAAGTGAAAAAAGGATGTTGAAGAGATCCAGCTTAGCTACATGTCGTGCCTTCTGCACCCTTTCGCAGTTTGCCCCTGCACCACAGGAGCTTGAAGGCAAGACCCTAAGGCTGCTTCCCTGCTTCCCGTCTGTAGATTTCTGGGAAAGAATTTTGCGCCTCAAATTTTGACATGTGCAGTTTATGTCCTGGAGTCATTTGGATGTGAGTGCTGTGTGAATGGAGTTGTTGGGGTGTTAGGCTCGTAACATGTCCTGATGGCCGGAAAACATATGAAAGCATCACATCAGGGAATTCAATTCTCCAACAGTCCGGCAGTGAGAACAGCGCAGGGCTGAAGCGAGGAGAAGACGAGAGGAGGCAACTCGCACGAGGCAGAGCTTGTCCCAGACTCCTAAACTTGTACTTGCGCTAGCTGATTATGTACAGATATGTAAAGTATTGTAAAGTATTTTGGAATACTGAACGGCATCCCTTGATTCGTGTTCGAGAGGTATTTCATTTATATTTTTCGGTTTCAGTTTGGCTTTTGGCTTTTGGCTTCTTACTTCCCAGTTTTAAAGCAAGTGTTAACATAATTTCAAACATAAATTAGATTTATACATATTGATTCAAAAAAGAAACTTGTTTAACCAATATAACCTAGAATGAAATCTAAAATGATTTTGATCCAGGTTTTATTCAGTTTCGTTTTAGGTTTGAATTAATGTCAAGCTAGATCTTCACTGATTTAAGCTTTGAAACTATATATAAAGTCAAAGTTAGATGCATTCTATATATACTGCAAGTAAATTTCAAATCAAATTTAAAATTTAGGATTAAATTCAACGCAATCTTAAGTTACAGCTTATTTCATTTCAAATGAAAGCTGCATTAATTTTTGGATTTCATTTTGGGAATTCTAAATAATTTCAGGACAATTTAAAACGACGTTATCGACGTCATCCCGAAATAACGATCTAGCTTCAGAAATAGCGAAATAAGTTCACGACCAATTTCATATATAACCCCTTCAGGCAGTCAGCCTAAAGGGGCTCTCATCAGCTACCGCTGGAAAACTACCGTTCAGCACCGGTTTGTGCCGGCGAATCTTGGGTTCCAGCCCTGAATTCCTAGTTCGTCAGAATAGGAAACTGATGTTTTCAACGCGATCAGAAGCCAGTTCTATTACTTTCCAGCTTTTTTCCACGGGCAGCTATGGCTGGAAAACTACTGTTCACGTGCGACATTGGTGTTTAGTTCTTACAGAACATACCCTATTTTTTAAACTTCAGACGACGTCAATATTTCAGGTTAAAAATTATTTGAAATAAGCGACGACCGACCTGCGACATATCTTACTTAATTTGTGTAAGTTAGATCAATTCCAAATTGAGTCTAGTCTAGATCAATCTTCAATTGAATTTAGATTCGTTTAGAATTATTTTTGATTAGTTTTAAGCCAAGTTAAAAATTATTTCAAGTTTGCCACCAACCAGAAAAATCAATTCAAACCATTGGCAGCTCCTGGACCCCAGTTCATGGTTACGTTGTGTACATTGGGTCCAAATCCATATAAGCAGGTGAATGCTGTAGTATGCTAAAGGGTGTAGCATTTTAGATTTCTGCCAATGCTAAAGTGACTTTGCCAGAGTCCTTTGATCAAGTTGATCAATCCTTTGGAAGAGCAGGGGCTTTCAGCTATCACGACTCACCTTCGTTCTCACTCCTTGCTACATTTGATTTTGAACATTTCCAGGCATCGGATCTGGGGAGAGTCGTGGCAGGAGAAGGTTGCTTTGCAACAAATTTACAGGCAATGAGCGCAATGAGCGCAATGAGCGTTTGTTCCGGCTGTTTTTTCTTGACCTGATTTTATATGAAGACAAAGATTTCCTCCGATTAGTGTCTTGTGCTCCAGTCTGCCACCAAGGTGGACAGGGTCAAGGCAGCATCCCCCTATAGCCACTATGCCAGCTGGAGACTGAAGCTTGCCTGAACCCAATGAATCTCAGTAGATCTCAGTAGTACAGCAGCTTCCCATCCTTTCGGCTTTTCTGCTGCGGTACCATTTCCACTAAAAAGTGATGTTTTTTTCCCCCCAGTGAATCCCACAACTGCATGGGTTTTCTGCTTTCTTCTTTTCTTTCCCGGGCGATGCAATGTACATTTTTTTCCTCCATTCTTGTCCGAATCCCTTTCAGGACAGCTGTCATGGTGAAAGGAGGTGATGATCTCCGGCAAGAACTGTTGGCTTCGCAGATCATTGAACAATTCAGTGCTATTTTCCAGGCCTGACATGGTGCCGCTGTCCCTGTGTGGGCTGGCACGTGTGCACTGCATTTGCACGTGGAATTTCCAGAGTGTTCATAGATGTCTTGAGTCTACAAACGCGTCTCCATATTCTCCATTAGCCAGCATTGGGCCAGCCTTGCGAACGGATGGTGCCAGGAAGCTGGCTTGCCACTGTGGCTGAAAGCGACCAAGGCTTCAACCTCAGAGCTGGAGCACCGAATTCTCCGAATTGCACACCGTCGTGACATCAAAGAAGATTTCTGAAAAGTGAAGACGGTGTATGTCATACAGCCGTATGATGGCCTTATGAATCATATTATACCGTTATAATTAGTTTTAATCAAAGCCAATATGGTTCATCACAGTACCACCTACCAGTGCTGACATTATATGTTTATCTTCCGGTGAAAACGATGACACAAAATCAGCATTTTCATTGCGCCTTGCATCAATAGCACAGAGAATGAGGTCCTTGTCACAAGCTCCACGAACGGCTTTCTTGAGTTTATTCCAGACTCCATATCAGTAGACGAAGCTTGGAATGCAACCACCAACATTGTCAAACATGGCGAGGCCTTTTTTTGTATGCATTAATGTTGAGGTGGAGCGAATTCACTCAGATGATGTAAGTACATGCTGTCGAATATTCAACTGTTCGATGTCTACTTATGTGAACATTTTTGTGCAGAAAAGACATTTCGCTGCTTCTCTCTCTCTCTCTCTCTCCCTCCCTCCCTCCCGTCTCTCCATTGACATGACCGCTTGACTGCTGCGGACATGAAAGACGGAGCGCAGTTCTGAGTACCAACAGTAGCCTGTTCAGAAGGTGACCCTCATTTCAAACATGCTCATGACTAGAGCACCTTCGAGGCTATGAAAAAGCTCTTCCCGGGAAAAACCTTGGCAGAGATCTTCAAAGTAGCGTTTGCTGATCGCCTGCCGCTTGGCACTGCTAACAATCCTCACTCATGGTGAATACAATGTGAAGTTTGGCCACTCGGTGGGCACAGTAGTTGTCCCATAGTAGCCGCTAGCCCCATTGTTGATGTTCTGAGAAATAAAAGGCCAGAAATGTCAGGCAATGAATAGAAGATTGCATTTCAATATCTCCCTCTTCAGGGCTGTGCCTGCACCAAAACCAAGCTGGGTTCATGAATCTATGTTTGATTTCGGATGTGGAAGCTGTACTCTTCACTTCACCTTTCAAGAAAAGTCTGCGGTTGAAGAAGGAGCCAGGCTGATTTACATGTCATCGCCAGCGCTCATTCTGCCGAGCTTTTCTGACTCAACTGCGAAGGTTTGAAGCAAAAAAGAACTTTATCGAGAGTTCGGCTGCATATTCATTGGTAGTTTACTTCTTGCAGGTGCGGGGGTTGTGGATGATGTCAGAAAAGGATAGAAAAGGAAGAAAAATCCAGCCAAGAGTCTGACGGCGAAACTTGCCCAACTGAACACATAGGATCTCGTCGAATGTCTGAATATTAAAATTAGTGCCCTCTAAGCAGATCACAGAGGAACATGGCAAAGGTCTTGATCAGAATTGGGCAGGTGAAGGATCGACACAATGGAAATCTGCTGCTGCTATCCAGTGGCCATGTTGTTCACATTGACTTTGGGCGGCTTGACCTGCAGCGTTTTTCTAGAAATATCTTCTGGACTTCTTGCACTGCCACTAATAACATTAATATCTCAGAATTCCTGTCTTCGTGCTTTCAGTGCTTTCAGTTGCACAGGAATTTGAGGCCAGGTTCTTTTCCTGTACTATGATCGGTGGGTTATTGAACGTTCCTGAGGTTTATGCTTTCCAACTCACCTGGGGGGAATATGGGCTTCGAGAACTCGCCCTTCAAACTGACACAGGAGCACTTGAAAGATTCTGACTCCTTGCCTGAATTGCCACATGAATTGCTGCACATTTTGCAGAGCGGTGCTGTAGCCGTACACACAAGAGGTATATAGATGAAAGAGGAGCGTATGACTGGCAAAGTAGCAGCACATTTTTGAATCTTTGAAGCCGGGACACCTGGATGCAGTTGCTTGAGAGGAAATTCTGGATGTCATGGATGGTGAGTGCTCCGAGCAGTACGAATATTTTCGACACCTTTTTGAAGACTTGGATAGGTCGAACTGGCTCCAACGGGTAGTGGCTGCTTTTCATTGACGGAGGAGTTCGGAAAGGCTGGCAGGTAGAGGCAGAGGAGTAAGTTGAGCATGTAGATGTACGCGGAACTTTCACCTAGTAAATTAGATTCAATTGTGCACTGCAGTAGATTTGCGTGACTCCGACACCTGCTTTCCCACGCACTGGGGCACGTCGGTCGTATGTCAACTAAGGAACCTTGCTGATTCGTGGGTTTTTAGAAGCCAGAAAGCACATGGAGCGCATTGTTTTGCAAGCAGCTCGTCTGCACTTATGTTTGTACGCTTTCAGTGGTATACAATTCAAAAGAATAAAGGAAGAGGGTGAGAAGAGAGAAAAATCACAGGCTCTTCCACATAAGAGAGAGGGAAACCACACTCGCATGAGTTACAGTGCTTCTTATAATGAAGGCAGACCGAAGAGCTCAGTCGTTGGAAGCTTTGGTTTTGGCAGGCTAAACACGAGAGAGGTAGAACAAAGAGGACCAACTCACCTGATGCCCTGCAGGTACGCATGATGCTGACTGGTTCCAAAATGCCATGCTTCCGAGAAGGGGCCGACTTTGTTCTCTCTACATTGCAAGACAGGCGATGCCGCGTCATATCTTTCAAGATTGAACACATGTGCAGTACACAGCATGCTCAGCAACCACAGATTATACGAACGGAAGATTGTTTCCAGGTATGTGTTGATGAACACTTATGCCCAGAGATGCCGGGCACACAGATCCACTCACACACACACAAAGGCACGCTATCCACGCACGCAATCTATCTAACTATCCATCCATCCATCCATCCATCCATCCACCGATCCTATCTATCCTATCTATCCTATCTATCCTATCTATCCTATCTATCCTATCTATCCTATCTATCCTATCTATCCTATCTATCCATCCTATCTATCCTATCTATCCTATCTATCCTATCTATCCTATCTATCCTATCTATCCTACCTATCCTATCTATCCGTACACACACACACATATATATATTATAGAGCTCTCGAGCTCTTTCTTTTTCTCTCTTTCTCTCTCCATGTTTTCATTCCATTGCATGGTGTCTTGCAGTTGCATTCACCGTCGAGTTTGCAGGAGTCAGGCATAGTCAGGCACTTCAAGTCAAGAGCCTGGATGTTAAAAATGTTGAAACACAGCGGGGCTGCGGGCAGGTTTTTCAGCAATCTCACAGAGGAGGCTTGCAACTCGGCAGAGATCATTGGAAACTCAGGCCACAGGAAGTGCAGCCAAATTTCAACGGGGGTTTGTTTAATGAATTAACATGAATTTAACGTATGATATGTATATAGTATATAATGAAATGTATATTTCTCTTGTTTGGAAACCATGGCATTCCAAGGGTTCTTTGGGAGTGGTGCTGAGTGCGATGCAACAGTTGTAGTAAAGCAATGCTGAGATTTAGTGCACTCAAAAACCTGAGGAATTTCCTCGCCGATATTCACAACCATAGCAACATCCCCGCTATTGAGGAACTAAGTGATTCATGGGCTACCCTTTCGACAAATTGTTTTTTTTTTTGGGGGGGGGTTACTGCCATGAATCAAATTGATTCTTTGGGGGACCTTGCCTTTCTAGGGATTCTTTTGGAATGGCACTAAGTATGGTACAACAGCTGTACTAAAGCAATGCTCACATGTAGTGGATCTACAAAAGAAAATGAGTTGGGAGGATCTTTCTGAAAAAAAGAGTCCTGGGGAAAACCTGCCACAATTCAAGATGGCACCAATTCATAGGGTCAAGAGTCAAGAATTAGTTGGGGATATTTTGCTGCATTTGATTCATTTGATGACCATCGCACAAATGACAGTCCACCATCAGTGTTCATTTCTGAGTGCATACATTCCATAAGCAAGAGACGGCCTAGGTATCGAGAAAGTCGTGGAGCTGATAGACACTTCCGTGAACAATTGGCGCGCGATTCAGTATGATTCTCGTCCTGAGCCAGGTTGGTAGGTTAGAATTGGTTCAAATGTGTTCGGATACAGAGGCATACATATAGATATAGGGTACAGATACAGATATAGATGTACCCTCTGGTAAACTAACATAGCTATTGAAAATGGTGATTTGTAGTGGATTTTCCGATTGAAAATGGTGATTTTCCATAGCTATGTTAATTTACTGGAGGGTAGATATAGATTCGCAGATATAGAAATAGATAGAATGATAGAGCCAGAGACTTACTCTTAACGATGCACCGGCTCACGCTCTTTGTTGCCAAAGACCGCACCTTGCTTTAATCTGACCGATGAATTTACATGAATTTCATTTCATTTCATTTCACTGATTTACTTTTGCCTGGCAAATGGTTCTGCTGGTGTGCCTGACAACTGCACAACTGCTGTGGATGCAACTCTTTGAAAGACGGAGCCTGAAGCCAACTGCCAGGTAGATAGAACTGTTTTGCTCCAAGCAGGGGCACAGGAAATGCGTGCCGGTGTCTCAAGAGACAATTCAATAGTGATGGATCCATTGGACACATGGGGCCCATGCATCACAAGGATGCGGTTATCACTGCTATGAATGATTGGCACAGTGCGTGGGACTTAGCTCGCGTATCAAGGGTACAGAATGTGACCATCTTCCCGGGCGTGCCGGTGTTTGAAGAGGATGAAACTTACATCACCCTCCTGGTGGAACAGGATGGTGATGCTTGGTCAGATGCGCCACTGCGTGGGTGCAAGATTTTGGAGCCTTCGCAATGTTCTGTGCTGAGAATTCATGCGTTTTTCCTTGGCCACGCGAAGAATGACAGATCAAGAAGTTTCAAGTCTTCCTGGAGAACAAAGATGGGAAAAAACTAGGCGTGGTGGTGGCAGCACATGATCCAGATCTACTGGGGGAGACGAATGGCGTGTGTCCAAGACGTTTTCTACAATCCAGCGCCGAAAGCCAGGAAGACGACGTAACCTGGCCGGCAGGTCTTGATTGATCAACTGCCGAAAAGCGAGGAATTTATATATCTCCTATTTGAAATGATGCAGCAACACGAAGACGTAGGGCATGGCGCTGCAAGGGCTGTTCAGCGGCCCTTTCAAGCAATTTGTCGAATGGATGGAGTGGTCTTCCATGCATGGTCTGGGAGCAGTTCCTCATGTATACCTTTGCAGGCACTGATGTGGCTTCTGAAGACCTTCTGACACCCTATTTGGATGCGAGCAGGGTTCATTTCCAGTTTTTTCACAAGGACAACCTTGCTCGTCCGGGGCACATATAGCAAAATGGCTGGTAAAAAGAGTGGATGTGGATAAGTATATGGTGTTCAAAGAGAAGATTATGTATTTTGATCATCAGGACCACATCGTGAAAGAACAAGGCGTTTCAGGGGACAAGGTTGCCAGTCTTGAAGTGAGAAGGGTTCGTTTTTCATGAGCACGTCCCGAAACCTTTACGATTTCATTTGATCACCGGCTTCGTACCATAGATGCCTCTTGCCGAAGCAAGTCACAAAGGTTGACAACACCTACCGAACCTCGGTCCACTGGTTCACATGTTTCAAAAATCCCCTTTAAAATGATCAAAGTGGATTCAAGGCTTGCAGTCATCCACCACTAATTACAGGATCCCAGAAAGTGTTGAGATGGTGGACTATGAGTATTTTGACTTTAGAGATCCTAATGCAACGATGATCGCACTTGCGAAATGGTTCAAGATCCAGACTTCAGATGCAAAAACATTTGTCAAGAATCTGGCGCCTAGACATCTGCCAGCGACGAACACTGCAGCTGCGCTCTGCAAGATGTGGAGCCCTTGCAATTCAATGACACTCAGTGCGTCTTCGGAAAAAAACACTTCTTCAACTTGCCATTTTCAAAATGAACTTTACATTTTGTAGCTTCAAGGTGCTGCAAGCAGTTTGCCATTGAAACCTGAGGACAATTACCAGCGGCTCGTGAATGGCATCCTGTGAGTAGAATCCGTCATCCGTTTGATGAACGCTGCTGCGATGTACCTCTTTTCATCCCTCAATTTCCAATTTCTAGGAAGGGCACTAATTAAAACCAAAATCCCAGCATTCACATGTTATCATGTTATGATCATGTGTTCTCTGGTCAGCTGCTCTCTGTTCTCCTTTTGTCCTGTCCTTTCACGCTAAGCGCCAATCGATTACTGCCGCCTGCAGCCCTCGGCAAAAAAGTGCCTGAGAGTCTTGACCATATTCAACCCCAGCGCAAGGATATCACATTGTATTACATTGTCCCGCATAGCCAGCCTTTCATGTCAGCTGGAAAAGGTCATGATGTCCTCCGTGCTTCAAATGGTCATGGGTTCAGGGTGCTGCACTGAGAGTGAACAAGTTCAGAGAGAGAGAGAGAGATTGCAGAGCAAGTGGTCGGGGTCAGGGTTGTTGCAGCCAACCGTCTCCTTTATGTTTATTCAGCGTCGCGTCGCACACCAATTGCATCTGCCACTTTGTAGAAGCTTCGAGCTTTAATAGACTCGCTGGATGATCACCGCACGCAGTGTGGTGAAATATAGGGAGGTCAGAAGGCATGTCTTGGCAATGCTAATGACTCAGTGCCCAGGGCGCCAGAGATCATTTCCTGTGAAATCCGAGATGTCGGAGTCTCATCAAAGATTCGTCAAAAGAGCATAAAAGAACGACATTCGAGATTGAGACCTACTGGAGAAAGGAATTTTCATATGTCGTCTATATTTGTTAAATATAGATATATACACACATATTTGTGACATTGTTTTACTCTATTTGTATTTAGCATTCATAGTTGTATCAGTTATCTATTTAATGTAGCTGATTTGTTGCTACAAAAGATGGGCGAATCGGTTTGCAAGCACCAATACGATGAATCGCTGGCCACTCCTTCCTGCACGCTCCCCACGATAGCAACAAACTTTCCTGGTGATTTCATTTTTTTCATGATTTGCTTTTACACGTTGAAGTGTCGCTTTGAAATTTTACTCTCATCCTTCCTTTAGCGCTGAGATCTTCTTTCCGATGGGCTTCATTCGACTCTTTGATGGTAGATGTCTCAGATATCCACTTGGGCTCGGTGGCAGGGGCTTTGCTAACATCTCTCGGAGAAGCTTACTTCAGCCGGCGACTAGAAAAGTCGCTCGTCCGTGATGAACATAGTTTTCCAAGCTGACTTCAAGCTGACCAAGGCCCTGCCATGAATGGCCAGGACCTTTGGCAGGCTCTCGACTTTTCCAGGCCATCTCACGCTTTTAATGCATGTTGCAGACATTTGCGGCAAGAATTTGGGTACTGAAATGAGGTGGAGATACATAAACTGGAAGTAGATGATCGTGATGGTTAGAACTGGAACGAACGGAAACAATGTTAACGCCTGGAAAGTCTAGGATACGTAGGATGTGTATCATTGTAGGACGGAGCTGGGGATGATACTGGGTGCAGTGATACGTCCACGGTGCGCAGCCCCATGGGAAGCGAGGGACGGCTGGGTTTGGTTTGACGGGTGAGGGTAGTATGTTTTTCACATCCAGGGTCACAGGTAAGGTTGATGCCCATTTGTTCAAACCTTTTTAAGACCCATTTCTTAATAATACCAACATGCTCCTTCTTTCTGCCAGACTCAGAAAATTGACTTCAGTCCGTTGATCTGAGAAAATGTTTGGAGGGCAACACAAAGGATGTTGGAGCTCAAGGGTTACCGCCGGAGGGCGTTGTCATGGACCGGCCGTTGAAAGCCTTGAAACAACCACAGACAAAGTGGATAGAAATGGCTAGGACGATTTGGATGATTTGGTTGGGTGGCTCAAATTTGATCGTAAAAAAGTCATATCATCCTGACATCCTGATACTGATTCCTTATCGGCAGTCGGGTGAAGACTTGCGAATAGGCCTATTGTTGGAGGACATTTGACGATATAACGTGGCATGATGAGGCATGCCCAAATATAGCAGCATTGATTTGGTGCAAATAATTTTCATGCGAACGAACGTATGTCAACCATTAGCATGGATTCCCACAACAATTTCCATTCCAGTACATGTCATGGTTGATACTTGTGCTGGCTTGCAGCTCTGTCACTTTCCGCTGCTGTGTAGCTCTAACTACCATTTCACGTTTCTTCCGATTCACGTTTCTTCTGATAGGGAACAGACATGGATGCTCGGTTCAAGCCTCAGCAAATGGTGAAATCTTTTCCACCCACCCTTTTGTTGCAACAAGACTGAAAGCAAAGAAAATTAACTTGACTGAGAGGGGCCCTGAGAGGGGCTGAGCGAGAACAAGCTGGCTGTGGCTTCAAGGCACATCAGAATGAGCTTGGACTTGCTGCATGTTGGCATTGCCTTGCACACGGCTGAGGCCCACTACTAGCCCTTTCGGTGAGGACACGGGGCAATCCTGCAATTCTCCTGATGGCATTCCTCTGAGCCCTCCAACTTTATAGTGAAAATAAGGAATTTCTTGTATGTACCCGCTATCCGACATGGATTCAAATCACTGGGACCGACTCTCAAGGACTCAATTTCTTTTTGGAAAATGTGTGTTTTTAATCTGCCTGTTGCTTCACTCATTTCTTGAAGAAGTCTCGAGAAGTCATGGTTGATAAACGGTCTGGGACGATGTTTGGACAGGATGAAATGCCGCCGTCTCAGTGGGGGGAACAGACATGCCATGAAAAGTCCAAAAGTCACATTGGAGTCATCCCATATATCATATATCTATATATATCCAGGTTTTGATTTGAACCACTTCGATTGTATATTGCTTAAGTGTACACACACACACTCTATATATATATATTTATCGACTATAGCTACACATATGATCACATATGAATGGAACACGCTGCCCTCAAATTGATGCTAACGTTTTCCAGAAGCTATAGCTGTGTACAGCGAGGAAAAGCTTTATACTGGGTAAGAAGAAACGCAGATAGATGTCCTTTTGGGCATCTCATTGTACTGCCTGTGCTGGCACTTCTATCCGCAAACTTGCAGCAACATTTGCTACTTTGATTCCTAGAATTACCCACAGTGACAACATGGAGATGGATGTCTAAGGACTCAGCTCTTGGACAAGGAACAAAAAAGGCACGTGACTTCGAATGACGCTGCACGCTCTTCCTCCAAACTGCTCCAAGCATTTTCAGCATTTCTAAGCATTTCCATTGATTTTACGCACTTTACCAATGTCTTAAGTCTAAGCACTTTCAGCATTTCAAAGCATTTCCAAGCACTTCAGGCTTGGCGTGCACACTTCTGTCAGCATAGACACTTCTGTCAGCATATTGAGTCGAAACAATGGCCTCTTGAGCGGCCCAGATTTGTGCAAAATAGGAGAGTGGCTTCAGTGGAAGGAAATGGAGGGAATAGACAGAAGCTGCTGTCTTTATCAAGCAACTCTCACTCCTGTCGTTTCCGGAACTCTAGTTTGCACATTTTCAATATTCTTCAATCAAGTTGCATGCAATGTCTCCCAATCATTTCCATTAGTCATTGCCAGTAATATGAATGATGCGGGTCCCGTGGCAACCCCCAGAAGACACGAGCGTTTGCCCCTGGCAGTCCGAAATGCTGGGATCGTCATCAATGCACCCTCATCTCTGCAGCTCTTCTCCTTACCGCAGGTGCAGGGTGGCCCAGCAAGAATGGCCCAGCAAGAGCTGCACAGAACAGCCTATGATTTCTTGGCTTTCACGTGTGTGGAAATCACGGGCGCTTCTCTGCACCCAGGTTGCGCTCTGGGTACATGCTCTTCTGCTGGGGCCCAAGTGGAACTGCATGCCGATGCCCTTTTTTAAAGGACCCGAGCAATTCATGATAGGAATGCATACAAGCAGTACGCAACGGAAACATCAACGATTCTGGGCTGCTTCCCCGATGCCACTCATGCCACTCAGGCGACCCAGGAGCTGATTGCAGTATGGGCTTGGTATGGCTGCAGTCACAAACTCTGGCTGCACTTGTGTAACTTATGTTGTAACTTGTGTTGGTAGTGCCGGGGGCCAACCTGAGATTTGAGCATTTTGAGCATTATCTGGCTACAAGATGCTACAAGCCGGCGGCCTCCAGGACCTTCGCCTCCAACACTTTCATGGTACTCCTCGGGCTGGATAGGCTTGGCATGCCTTGACCACCGTTGACCATTCAAAGTACTGAAAGGCTTCCCGACTCCAACGTCGCTAATGTGCCATGCTGTGCCTCTGTGATTCGTGCCTTGGCAAGTAGACCTCAGGACAACCACGTTCGTTCTGGAAGAGAAGCCTCTTTCAGATCAGAGGACCTACCAGCACCTCGTCATCAATCGGAGTGAGACGGTTCCATGCTCTCCATACTGCGAGATCCGGGCTCGCCAACAGACGCCCATTGGCATTTGAGCTGCGTGTTTTCTTAGCAACAGCGGGGTCCTCCGCGTAGGCTACCTCTGCAGTCCGCGTAGGCTTCGCGTAGACTTCGTGTCGCCTTGATGAGTTTAGCGGGCTAAGCATAAACAAAAAACCCGTTGCAAACTAGTACCTCAAGCAGTCCCTCTCCCTAGCAAGAGGTGCTGAGTGATTCCATATGGCGGCCCGAAAGGTTCTTCTGACTTGGTTCCAACTACGCAGTGGTTTGGCAAGAGGACTTGTGGAATCACCTGCTCAGGTTTGCCACTCTGCAAAACGGTCTGGAAGTCTTGAACATTGAGGACTTCAGACTCTGAAGATTTTGTGAGGGTGCCAAGGGCGTGCTGTCAAAGCACAGTACAAGCCTGCTTGACTCAACTGATTCCGTTCTCTCTCTCTCTCTATCCTATGCTGCGATGCTCTGTGCAGGCCGGTATCGGTGTCAGAACCCCTTCATCTTGTTTGGATTGCCACATATTGCCACCTTCACATGTAAGCCAGCTTAATGCAAATAAATTATATATATATAGTTTGCTTGATTGTTGCCCGAGTTGGATCCCAGACTTTGATCCCCTGGTGGCGTACGTCTTCGGT